TAGGGAATACAATGGTTTATATGATTCTAACTTTTGTGCTGAGTTGTATAGCTTTGCATTTTAGAAGCTTTTCTAGTTCTTTCATAGCCACCCTTCCAATTTTAATGTTCTCCTTATTCTCTGGCTGCAGTCCCCATTCTGATCAATGTTTGATTCCAGATATGAGAACTCTTTTACTATTTGTATTTCCTCATTGTCTAGTTTGACAGTTCTCTGTGGTCATTATTTTTGTTTTCTTAATGTTCAACAGTAAGCCTGCCTTTGCACTTCTTTGATCTTCCTTAGTAGGTGTTCCAGGTCTGTGAGGTTTTCTGCTAGTACTATGGTGTCATCAGCATATCTCGGATTGTTGATATGTCTTCCTCCTATTTTCACTCCTCCCACTTCCATGTCCAAGCCTGCTTTCCTTACAATATGTTCTGCATATAAGTTGAATAGTTGAAATGAAGCTGCTATAGGTGGGGTAATAGGATGCAGCCTTGTCAGACTCCCTTCCCAATTAGGAGCCATTCTGTTTCTGCATGTTCTGTTCTGATAGTAGCCTCTTGTCCTGAGTACAGATTCCTCATCAGGACTATCAGATGTGTTGGCACTCCCATGTCTTTAAGGGCATTCCACAGCCTTTCATGATCTATGCAGCCAAAGGCTTTGCTATAATCTATAAAGTACATGCTGATTTTCTTTTGGAACTCCCTGCTACACTCCATTAGCCATCATATATTTGCAATGTGATCCCTGGTGCCTCTTCTTTTCCTGAACCCTGCATGGACCTCTGGGATTTCTTTCTCCATTTGTGGTTGGAATCTATGTTGCAGTATTTTGAGCATAATTTTGCTTGCATGGGAGATTAGTGCTATGGTCTTATAGTTGCTGCAGTCTCTTGTCTCTCCTTTCTGGTGGATGGGGATGTATATTGATCTTTTCCAATCTGTTGGCCATTGTTTTGTTTTCCATATCTGTTGACATATGTTGGTTAGCACTAGAGTTGACTCTGTCAGTGTGGATTGCAACTATTTAAAAATAGTTTTAAAGTGATGTACTCTTACTCAGTACATCACTTTAAAATAACTCAAAATACACACGGAATGGGAATGCCCTCCTCCCACAAATAGCTTGATCTTCTTTTCTATTAACAATTGTGGGTTAAAGGAAGAGGCCTTAATGAACAACTGCTTTTTCCCAACATAGAATAGCCTTGTCCATCTGACTGGCTGTGAGGGGAGTTTCTTTATTTCATTTTATTTCTATTTTTGCTCAAATGAGTTAGCACAGGATTTATAAATACTTAATCCTCTACCTTAAATATCTGAAGGTTCTGCTAATATATCAGTAACAGACAGCTTTCTAGATTTCACATCTCATATTCCAGTCCAAAACTCCTGCCTATGCCTATTTGCAATCTGCTCTCTATCACACAGCCCCAATAAAGGCAATATAGACCATGTTAATTATTTTAATTAAGGAAGATCTTTTATAGCTCATTTGGTGATAAAAGTTTGCTAGACATAGAAAGGATACTTTTGATCTGTTTTCAGACACAGTTGTCTGTCAAGGTAATTAAAATGACTGGCAGTGATAGTTACACGATTCCTAGTGTATCAAAATAAAACAGGTCACACAAGTGCCTACAGCAAGAGAACACCTGGCTTGAGCATTCAGCAAATTGTTCTTTGGGATTCAAAATGACCTCTTGAACCTGTCAGTTTAGGCTAGTATCAAAACTAGTTTCGCTGTGCCCCTAGAAGTGATTCATCATCCCCAGGATAGTTTTATGGGTTATACAGTCTATCTAAGTGGCAGTTTCCACGTAACATCTTGGAATGTTTAGGCAGTTTAAGCAAAAAATTCAAGTTTCAGTTCAATGCTTTTCATTTCTATTTATATTTTTCCTGTTATTTTATTTATTTGTCAATATTTATGAGCTGCTTAAATTCATTTTTTCCTAAGCTGCATAAACAATACAGAAGACTTTACAAAATTTAAATGTGGCAATTGTGGGGTAATA